CGAAGTGGCCTACCTGCTTGCTATTATGGTACATTCTTTGCAGTACTTGGAAGGCACAGGTTTCTAGAGACAAAATTTAGAGCCCTTCCAGGGCAGTCTCTGAGGGTTAGTAGTTCCTTGTTGTTCCGGTACTATGGATCGGTGGGTAGCTCGGTTTTTAACTGCTGAGTCAAACCCACTCCCTCGTCAATTTTCCATCTTTGCGCCTGCTGCCTGATTGTGACCTATTTGGCTTACTGGCATCATAGTGTGGACCACATTTTCATCCTTGATGTTGTATTGTGGAATTCATGACAAAGATGTCACTTTGCTGGTTGGGTGCCGCTTCACACTGCTTGCATCACTTGAACTCGAGGTCCATTGCTACGGCCATCCAATACCACTTGTGAATCTGACCAGAGACTCCTCAGTATATGCACGCATTTAGCAACTCACGGTTCAGGCCCTTTTTAAAGAAGTAGATCAGTAGTGTTTCCGGCCACTGCCGCAGCCTATCAGGCATTCGTCACAACTCTCAGATATATTCCTTGGAGGGTCAGCCCCTCTACTTTAGTTCGTGGATCTTGGCTTCAGCTTGTAGGGAGTTGTCCTCAAACCTAGACATTGTTCCCCAGCTCTGGCATGTCCTTGTCATGGAGTTGGGTCACCCATTCGGCTGCCGCCCCTTCCAGGTTTGCTGTCACAGCATGGACCATTGCTCGGTCACTTGGGTAGTCTGCCATGTGGTCATCTAGATGAACCCACACCTGGTTCATGAAGAACGCCAGTTTCTCTGGGTCCCCGTCGAAGATGGCTTTCATGGTGGGAGGTGGTAGTTGTGGCAGCACCCAAGCTGGAGGCCAGTAGCCAGTAGCCCAGCTGGGCCCAGGGGACAGCCTTGCCATCCTGGGGGTGTGTGTTGGGTACGTGGCCAGGTGGGCTTGCTACCCGATGGCGCCATGGTGAGCTCTGCTGTCAGCTTGGGTTCAACCGGGCTTGCTACTTGACAGCAGCAAAGGGCTAGCTAGCTGTGTCAGTACCGTTGGAGCCGGATAGCTGTCAGGACAGGTTTGCTCAGGATCCGTTGGGCCATTTAAGACTACCCATCTTCACCTCTGGGGCATCATATTCTACACAGTGGGGACAGCAGCAGAAAAGGTTCTCTTTCTAGACCCTGCCAATCAAAATAGGATCTGTAGCATATCTTCCAGATAAAGTGGGAGGGACTGATGAGATTGGGCAAAACCAGTTCTGTAGGTAACCTGGTCCTATGCCACATACACATTTATAGGTAATGACTAACACTTTGAATTGGACCCAGAAACAAACTGATACCCAGCGAATCTCTGGGAACAAGGGTATATGTGCCCCTTTTCAGACACCCAGTATGTAGTACAGTGCTCTGTACTAGCTGAACCTTCCGGATATTAGCTCCATGTAAACTACATTGTAATTGTCCAATCTTGAGATGACAGGGCATGAATGGCTGCGTGTTAAGACTACCTGACTATGAATGGCCATAATTGGAGCATAGCACGTAGATGGGTAAAGACCCTCCTGGCCATGGCAGCCACCTGCTCTTTGAGCAGGAGCCATGAAGAGAGTCGCCAGATTGCACACTGGATCTGTCTAAGCAAGTGCAACCCCATCCAATACCAAAGATGACAAAATCTTGAGTGCAGAGAAGTTCACCCACAGCCATTCTGTTTTACTGGGATTCAGTTGAAATCTACTGCTCCCCCATCCAGACCTTTACTGCCTCCAGGCAGTGAAAAAGGATGTTGATTGTGACATTCACTTCATCCGACATGGAGATATATAACTCTCTATCATCAGTGTGTTGGTGATACTTCATCCAATAGAGATGGATACCCGCATCCAGTGATTTCATGTAGAAGTTGAAAAGCAATGAGAGAGCCTTGAGCCCTGTGGCACCTCATAAAGCAGAGTTATGAATTGGATTTCTCATTCCTTATCAACACCACCTAGAATCGCCTTGGAGGAAGGAGGTGAACCACCACAAACTGTGCCTCCCACCAACTCTAACCTCCACTTAAGTCCAAAACGACACCATTATTGATACACTGCTGAGAGGCCAAGGAGAACAGGGATGGAAGCATACCTCCATCCCGTTCTTGCCAGAGATGACCCATGGATGTGACCAATGCAGTTTCAGTCCCCATACCTAGGCCTGAAACCTGCCTGAAAAGAGTCCGGATAATATGTTTCCTCCAGGTTCCTCTGGTGTTGCAACAACACTACTTTCTCAACCATCTTTCCTAAAAAGGGTAGATGGGACGATTGGATGAAAATTTACCAACATGGAGGGCTCCATTAGGTTTCTTGAGTAGGAGGACACACCAGAAACTCTTTAAAAGGAGCTGGAAACACTCACTGTGACAAGGTTGAATTCACCAACACATGGACTCACTCACGATACCTCCTGGGAAGCCTTAACCAGCCAGGAGAGGTATGTATCTAATATGCAGGTGGTGGTGTTTTCATTCCAAAGGAACCTGTCCACTTTCTTAAGTCCAACAGAATCAAACTGATCCCACATAATAGGTATCCCATGGGTAAGTCTGTTCCCTGGGTATCTCCATAGGACTTTTAACATGCTTGGAATTACAAGCATTTAATAAATATTTAATTAATAATTATAATCTTGCATTTAATAAGACAAGTTGGGAAACTGAATTAGTCAACTTGAATAGAAAATTACACTATAATTCAAAGCACTCAGAAGTGGATGATTAACAAAGCTTATTTTGTAAATTTTCATCAGTAATAATCAGCCCCAAATACTCTTTTCACAATTTTAAGTTCCAATTTTTTCTGGTCTTCCACATTCACATTCTTAATCAATATGGTCGTCTTTAGTTTATTCATTTCAGATCTGCTGCCTTCTGCACGCCCGGTTGAAGATCCATCACCCTCTTCCCTACGTTCATATAGTAGAACAGCTTTATTATCATGACAGCCATTCAAGCGGAAGGTGAACTGCCTCCGCTTCTGATTGTGCTCCATCTGGATGGGGAAGCTGCCACCGCCGAGCTCACCCCTCTCCCCTGCCGCTGGCTTCTTTGCCTTTGTCCGCACATGGTGGAGAAGAGCTCAGAGGGGAGCTCGGGGGTGGGGGGGAAAAAAGCGTGGAATGGGGAATCCATCCCCCCAATCCTGATCAAGCAGTCCTTGCAGGCCAGCTGTCAGGGGAGCGATCCGTGTGGTTCTCCTACCAGGAAACTTTGTAATGGGAAGAGGGGGAGGGAGGAACCCTGTGAAGCTCGTACTTGGTGACAGGAGCCAAAGCAGCCTTCCGCATGCCAGGTTTTTGCAATCGGGAAGGGAATAGTGGAGCTGCCACCCAAAAAAGCTTTCCTTCCTGATACCAAAAACCTGGCATGCGGAAGGCTGCTTTGGCTCCTGTCACCAAGTTCTCTTCCCCTGCCCCCCGAGCTCCCCTCTGAGCTCTTCCCCACCACGCACGGACAAAGGCAAAGAAGCCAGCAGCAGGGGAGATGGGTGAGCCTGGCAGTGGCAGCTTCTCCATCCAGGTGGAGCAAAACCAGAAGCGGAGGCAGTTCACCTTCCCCTCGAACCTGTCATGATAATAAAGCTGTCCTTTTGTATGAACGTACGGAAGAGGGTGGTGGATCTTCAACCGGGTGTTCAGCGGATCTGAAACGAAGGCATTCCAAGCGGTGATCACGGCAACTGCCTTATGCCTCCTACGCAATGCTCGCTATGCCCACCGAATCCCAACCTCCGTGGTTCCCAGGGCTGCTTTGGGAGGCAACAAAGGTGTAGGGGGCTTGCTGGGAAGCCCGGCAACATGTTTATGACTAAAGGACTAAAGTGCCGCATCTCTATCGGGCTTGCTTGCAAGAAAGCCAGGCTTTCAATGCCTATGGTTATAGGTAGGAAGACGGGGCATCTCGGGAGTGGAGCCTTCAGTACCAAGTCTTTCTTCTGCCCCCATGAAAATCATACCCCTCTACACACACACACACACCAGTTAAATAGCATAGGGTGATAGGGTTTGTTTAAATGGATAAAAAGATCATTATCAAAATCTGCGTGGAAGTGAGGATCCCCACCATCTGGAACCATCCGAAAATGCAAGGAACAAAAGTGGCGATGGTGTGTGGCAATTCCTGAAGCCTGGAACAGCTGATTGGGGATACTCCACCCGCTGTTTGCTGCAAGGACGCTAGCCAGATTAATACTGATGGATGCTGGTAGGCAGAGGCAGAAACTTTTTTTCTTGTTTTACTCCCCCAAAGTTAAGGTACGTCCTATACAATGCGTCTTATATTCCAAAAAATACGGTAATTTTCTCAGTAATCTAAGATAATTTATTGTTGTTTATTTCTTCCATATGGGGAAATAAACTATTTCATCCCACTCTTCCAAAATTCATGGGGAGGAAGAGTATTGAATTTCCAGCACACATTCAGCAATTTACACACCGGGGAAAAAAACATTTGCAAAGCAGTTAAAAGCATAGGTATCCTTTGAAAACAAAGGCTGGAAGGACAGGGTGTAATCCTCCTCCTGCTGAACTTACCAGGGAGATGAAATCTACTGAATCTTTCCTCCCTTCTGCCAAGCACAACCATCCAAGGAATTTCAGAATAATTTCACATTGTTCCTTTTCCAATCCAGGAACAAACTGGCTACAGAGACTAATTCCTAGCAACCAAACCAGCCATTTAGCAGAGCAAAGAAATTCTCGGCTAGTTCAGGGTGCCATTTCTGAGTGGAGTCAACAGAGTTCATTTCATTAAAAAATTTCTTGCCCATTTCCCTGAAGAAGGCTGTAGATTCAAATGAATCCCTTTTATACCCTCTTGATCTAAGAACATAGGTCTCCCACTGAGTCTACAAATGCCATGAGCCAAGGCTCACACAGAAATAGGTGTTTTAATAACCAGAAACAGAATTCACTTTAGAAGCATTTATCAAATGAACAATTTTAGCCAGCAAGAATTTTAAAAGCTTTTCTAAAAATTAAGACTTACTTCATTTATCTTTTCAAATTCTCCAAAATATTCATCAGGCTGTTCACATTTTTTCTTCCAGGCCTCTTCATCATGCCTAGACGTATGAGAGGATAAAATTATTGGAAATCTCTATTCTGGTAGAAATATAACCTACTATTTAATTAATTAAATATTTAAACAAATTAATCAGCTGACAATCTGTTGACTTGACCCTTCCACTAAATGGTCACAGCATTCATAATTAGGTCATATTCATAGCATCCATAGTTTCTTTTGCATCTGAACAGATGCTGTCCTTGGGACCAGAAAGAGAGGAATGATTGGCTAGATCCAAACAATGACGCTAGTAAGCTTCAAGATAACATGGAAATAACGGAAAGACGTCCATAGAAAAATGTATTAGACTGGAAGCACTATGGAAAGAAGAGGCATACAGTGAAATGGAGGTAACAGAGGTGGAATCTCAAGGACAATGCTCTAATGTGGTCCACTAGAAAACATAGCTAGGACTCAAACAACTGCAGGAAGAAAAGAAAATTCACTGATTTTTTTCCCTTCACTTTTCACCTTTTCCCCATATGGACTGATAAGTGGAAAATAAGAATTTCCTTGAAGCCATACATGCCAGTGTTTGAGAAACTTAAGAGCTGACTAAATAACTCTATGAATATCAGCTGCTTCTCTTCAGTCCTCTTCAGTCCTCCGAATTCCATCAGCCGGCCAGTGTCGACTGGCGACTACCCGGAGGAGGGCCTTCTCTGTGGTTGCTCCGACCCTCA